GGGAAGTTTTTCTTCTTCTTCTCTTGTTTTGCAGTGGATTGCAAACAACTTTAAGGTGCATACCGCCACCTACTGTACTCGCCGTGAAGTGGTTTGTGGCCTGCCAGTAAAGCCAAAGCAGAAGAAGAAGAAGTGACGTCAGCGGCTCATTTGCGTAATCTTCCCTCAGGGAAAAGTACTCCGGTGTGAACGCGATCTGTACTAAGTGCCCTGGGGTTAAAAGCGCCGGGGCTCTTAGTGCCGGAACTAAGTACAGGAAAGTACTTGGTGTGAACGCGGCTATTGTAAAGTGGTACCGCTTTTTTAACCCCCCTCATGTTCTGGATCAATTTGACCTATAATGGCACCAAAGGGTTGAACATGTAAGACAAGAAATGCATCCTGACTTTGTTATATATATTAGATTTAAAAAAACAAAACAATTCAGTAATGTTGAGAACTATATATTTGTTTACTTTATTATTTGACCCTTTGGTTTGTTTGTTGGTTTGTTCACCATGTAAATACAAATGTAATCTATCATTAATATTATTATTATAGGAAACCTCTAAAGAAACAATATACCGCTCTGGAGTGCAGGTGACCCGCCAAAATGAAATGTAACAGCAATGCAGCAGGTTATTTCATGTGGAAACTGTAATTATATTGATTATTCTGACCGGCTTTTCATAAATTAGGTCAATAACACTTTCTATATCGGTCAGACCAGAGACTTCAGACCTCTAGCTGCTTCCTCCCATCCTCCCTCCTCTTCCTCTTCTACCTCCCCCTCTGTGCTGCATTGCCACAAATCTGACCCTGCACTCTCACTCAGAGCCACGCCCGTCCCTTTAACGCCGTGTAGACAGAAATAAAGTCCAGTTTGCTGCAGCTCCTGGGACACAGTGCACATACACAGAGAGAGAAGTGAAGCATTCTGGGTAGAAAGACATCACACTGCAACCATAAAAACCTTCAATCTGTTTTTATTTACAATACATTTCCTGAGACAAAGTGCAAGTGATATTATCTTGTATTTCACCAGTGTGGACAATTATCAGACACAAATTATCACACTATCATCTTACAGGGATTATCAGTGTAGAAAAAAACGATAATAGAAATACAAATTTAAAGCACGAGGCATTAAATCCACAAAATCAAAAGGTGTATCAGCTCCTGTTGTTTTCCGTGTCCATGCTGTAAGGATTTCCAAGGAGCATATATTTTAATAACAGCCACTATAATATAAAACAATATTCTTTAATGCAGTAGTTCCCCCTTAATCGTCCAAAAAATGTTCATTCTAAGTTGATTCATTGGGATGAAATAGATTAACACATTAGTCTAAATAAACCTTCAGCTCAGTGTTGAATGTTGTTCCTTTGTTTGTACAGAATTAATAAGTCAATTAGAGACATTTAAGCCACAATGGAGCTTTTCCACATCTGTCAAGCATCAAATTAAGTCATGACAGAGAGGGAAATGTCATGGTACAAGGACCCTTCATTTTAAACAATTTAATATAATTCAGCCATTATTAAAATGTTTAAACATGTGCTATTCCTAGTGTAAAATGTCTTAGATTTCCTTTGTGAAAATGTCACGTTGAAGCCGATTTGGTCTAAATGCGCCCAAAACACTTCAAATCGTAGAAACTTGCTACAGCTTCAGAAACTATGCAAATATAAAAACACAAATGTGCCAAAACACATGCAGATTTTCAAATATATTGACGCTTATGAGACGGCCAACAGAGTAGTGTAGTGTTTCGGTTCTGCACTGTTTTTATTAAAAGCTTCATTTGCATGTGTTTTGGCACAATTGGCATTTTATATATGCATCGTTTTTTAAGCTGCTGCACGTTTCTCCCAATGGAAGAGTTTTGGGCCGTTTGCACCTGTGGGCCAACGTATATTAAAGGTCCCATGTCATGCTTTTCCGGTTATTAACCGTCCCCTTGTGTGTTATGTAGCTTTTTATGCATCAAAAACCCTCAAAGTACACCCTGTAGCGAGTAAAACTCTAACACAGAAAAGACCTGTCTATGCTGCCCCAGAACGCCTCGTTGGAGATTTATCTTTTTCCATTGTTTTCTTCTTATAGTGTAGTAAGTACAGTGACGTATTGGGTATAGTGACGTAACGGACTTCCTCACACACACACACTCAATCTTTTCTCAGCTGCAGCTCCGCGGATTTTTCAGCCTGAACTCAGCCTGAACTCAGCCTGAACTCAGCCTGAACCCAGCCTGAACTCAGCCTGAACTCAGCCTGAACTCAGCCTGAACTCAGCCTGAGACGGCGAGACGCGGCAGGGCTCGGCCTGGGCTCGTTCTGAGCTCGTTCTGAGCACACACGGAGACTCACAGCCAGGCTGCAGGTGTGTGTGTGTGCTCAGGCTGGGTTTCGCTGTGTCTCGTTGTCTCGCAGATCCCCCGCAGCAACCAGGAAACGACACCAGTAACCCAGCTCACACTGTCCGCTCCAGCAGCGAGCCCCGCAACGTCCCGCCAACACGGCACCCAGACCCCACGCAGCATTCTCATCTGTTTGTCATTACTGGTGTCATTTACTGGTTGCAAACGCCATTGTAACACATAATCACTGATGTTCCGCTGTAACGGTGGTGGACTCATCAGAACAGAGTGGGCGAGCTGACCAATCAGAGCACAGTGGGCTCACAGGGAGGGGGGGGGGGGGCAGGAGCTCCAACAAGCCGTTTAGGACAGAGAGTGAATACACATACTATACAGAGATGCTGTATGAGAAACCAATGTGAGTTTGGAACATTGAACAATGTAAATCTATTCTAGTAGACTCAACAATGGAATTATGATCAGTAGAAATGGCCATGACATGGGACCTTTAAAGTGAAAAAAGAAACCATAACACTTTGAAGCGGAGCCGACACATTGGGCGCATACACAAAATATCTTTGTTAAAATGACAAAATATGGCATCGAGGAGGTCTGCAATCTCTAATATACAGTAATAAGTTAAATAAGCTGGTGTCAAATAAAAACTCTACAGACTCTCGTTCATTGTTTTTCCCCGCAATCTGCAGTGCTCTTCACATATACATTGCATTAAGTGTTTTCAGTATTGCAGTTAACATGTGCAGCAATAATGAAAGAGCAGTTAAGTTTGGTATAAAAAGGATTCAACCCCAATTTAAAGCACTACCCCCTTCTATTGGACTCTTGTTAGCATTAAATCATGCTGCAAAAACGTTGCTGTTAAGGCTTAGATTGCATTCAAAGAGTAAACCCATAATATATATAAATAACCCCTTCAATGCACATTCAAATTCATGCAGCAGGAGGGCAAAGGGAATATATATTTAAATGAATATTAATTATTCTGGATAGTACATCTTCAATTGTAGACTTTTCTTTCACTTTCTTTGATTTTAGTTTCAAATGTGGTGATCAAATAGCTCAAATCAAACGTAACATACAGTAAAAATGGGACATTTCTAAATAAAAACATTACAAAAAAAACACGACTATGATAGTGTTGTGTCAAGCTTAACCTAGTTTTCTACATTATCAACATACATGGTGGTAGATTATGGAGAACCTGATGGTGAGGATACAATAGTATGATATGTGTGTCCAGTTTAGTTACATTACATGTTACTTGCTTTTATCCTTACATACTCAATACTGTGGGCAATCCCCACAGGAGCAATTTGGGGTGAAGTGTCTTGCCCAGGGACACAACGACATGCTGACTGCAGTGGGGTTTGAACCTGTGACCCCCTGATCCCAACACCAACGCACAACCCACTGCACCACACACCTCTAGTTAATATGGAAGATGCTGGCTTCATAAACCCAATAAAACAATGGCTATGAAGTCGCCACAGTCAGAAGACCACTTTCATTTCACCTCTGATAATAAAAACAACCCCAGATAAATCAGTAATTATTAATATGGATCTACAGGGCTTAGCTACGGGAACGTATTTGAAGAGGTTCAGTGGCTGCACATCGTGTGATGAATAAAACTGAAATGTAATAAAAGTCTGACCCAAGATTAAAACAGGAATCTGTATTCAGACCGGCATCTTTAATCTGTCTTTATCTGCGACACAGTCTGATGGCCCTCTGAGGTCCGGAGAGAAAGAGGGGAATGACATTGCTATCTTCAAAAGAGAAAGCTAAGATAATGGGAACGATGGGTGAGTAGTTTCTGTATAAGTGAAGGCGTTATATTGACGACTTTCTCCATGAAGAATAAGCAAAACTGAAGAAAGAAAAAACAACAAACAAACAAGTAAACAAATCCAGCCTGGTCATTGCTTAATAACAATTTGGGCAATCAGTCAGTTACTTCAGATTACAGAGTGGTGCAGGAATAAGTCCTAAAACCAAAGATGAGTTAGCATTTCAGCACTTCCTGTTCCCTCGCCTACAAGTCAATGGTTTTTAGTAAGTAAATACCCCACTGGTGAATTTCAAATTGGTGGTTGTGTCTAAATGAGACTGCTAAACGTCTTTAATCCCAACATTAGCCACCTTTAGCTTAGCGGTGGTGACGTGAAGTCATGTGACCGTGCTGTAGTTCCTTTATAGCCCAACATTAGCCTCCTTTAGCTTAGCGGTGGTGACGTGAAGTCATGTGACCGTGCTGTAGTTCCTTTATAGCCCAACATTAGCCGCCTTTAGCTTAGCGGGGGTGACGTGAAGTCATGTGACCATGCTGTAGTTCCTTTATAGCCCAACATTAGCCTCCTTTAGCTTAGCGGTGGTGACGTGAAGTCATGTGACCGTGCTGTAGTTCCTTTATAGCCCAACATTAGCCGCCTTTAGCTTAGCGGTGGTGACGTGAAGTCATGTGACCGTGCTGTAGTTCCTTTATAGCCCAACATTAGCCTCCTTTAGCTTAGCGGTGGTGACGTGAAGTCATGTGACCGTGCTGTAGTTCCTTTATAGCCCAACATTAGCCTCCTTTAGCTTAGCGTGGTGGCATGAAGTCATGTGACCGTCCTGTAGTTCCTTTATAGCCTAAAGTTAGCTTTTTACTTCAAGAATCATAAAGTGGTGTTAATATTTGGAGATTATCCTCATAAATGTTTCTTTGAAACATAGATTATTTTCTCAAATCCCATTGGCTTTTTGTCGAGGGAACCAGGTAGATGCTGTCTTCCGGGTCAACCTACAAAAATATATAATCAGTGCACCACTCTAGCAGAGAAACAAGCAAAAATGAAACACAATGCAGTTTACTTCTGTTGAGCGATGAGAAGCGTTATGTACAAAAACAGCAACATCTTTGGTGTCTTTCATCCGTTTCCTGTGTACAGTTATTCCCTTTAGCTTCATTAGAGAGGTGATTGCATGAGGAGGGTATATAGTGTATAAAAACTATTATCTTTCTACAAACATTATACATTCAAAGTCATTCCTTTATATACAAGCATGAAAAACCTGTGAAGAAGCTTCAGTTCGATGCATATTGCCAAAGATGCGACCCCCGTCTGTTTTGATTAAAATGGTTTCTTCCATCCATGTGTTCAGTACATTCCTGCTGATGGACCACTTCATCTCCTACAGCGGGGGTGTGTGTTTTTTTTTCAGATAAAACTCTGATAGCTGTAGTTTACCAACCACATCGTCTTTACAAACATCTTAAAGAACCATCAGGAGACGGTGGAGTTCACACACACTCACACACTCTCTGCTAGGTTTTCACCAGCGGCTGTTATGAAATGTCCTCTGGTGTCTTTTCTCCTTCCCGGGATTTTTTCCTCTTCCTGTGGCCTGAAATAGACGAGACAGGTTAAAAATTGAAAATTAAAACTTTTAGGTTTACGAGAAATATAAATACACAAAAACAAAGTACAATAAATATTTGACAAATTACTCAAATAAAACGTGCCCAGTATAACATTAATTTATCCACTTATTATTGTTTTAATTTAATAACTTAATTAACTTAAAGTGGACCTATCATGCTATATTTAAATGATATTGTAGGGCCATACCTATATAAGATATATTTATACGTTTCTGTTTTCAAAATACCAAACAGATCATGCATTTTAGCCATGCCTCATTTTGCTCTATGTGCTGTTTGCTGTCTACGGGTCTGATTCAGCTGACCACGCCCCCCTGCAGGAGAGGTGAGCCATGCTCTGATCAGCTGCTGGGCTGTCAGAAGAGGGGGAGAAAAAGAGATCTCCGTCCTCCGTGTTTTATTATATAGAGTCGTTATTCATTTGTTTTAAAGCTCAATAAATAACAAAGAAGACCTTTGACCGGCACTTTTCTAATTTTGTCCGGAAGATTTAAACTTTAACGGACATCTTGACCGGCGAAAGTAACTGAAACTGAAACTCTGCCGCACGGTCCCCTCGTTCCTTGGAAGAGGCGGAGAGGTGGGCGTTTGTCATCTGCTGGTGGACTAACCGGAGAGAATTACAGTGCTTGCCTCGAAAAAAAGCCACAGCGGAGAATAAACAGAAGGGTAACCATGGTAACTATGGGCGGGAAGTCTTCTTCGCTGCTTTTGTGGCAGACTACAGCGCCACTTACAGGCCTGGCATATGTACTACAGCGTCTCCAGCGCTTTCGAGCGGCAATGGCCGGCCGTGGCCCAACCCCACATTCCCCTGATAGGTGGAGTTGGCCCAATAGCCGTAGCGCCACCGTCCTGACGTCAGGACAGTGTTCAAATCTGGATCAGTTTTTATCAGATCCGTTGCAGCCCCTTTTTTAGAGATTTGGGTATGGAGGAAAATAGAGAGGGTTGTGTTTTCTGACACTTGGTGAGTTCCCTGGAACACCGGGGACACATATTCATGTATAAAAGACGTACAGAAGTGCATTTTGCATGATAGGTCCCCTTTAATGTATTATTTATAAATAAATTTAGCCATTAATAGATTTTTTATTGATGTATTTATTAATTTATTTGTATTTGTTTATTTGTTTATTTTATTTTATTTTCTTTAAATACGTTTATTTGACATTAATACACATTTCTTTGCATGCGCCAGAGTTTGCCAAGAGGCTATTTTACATAGTCTCTTCAAAGATGTAAAGAGGTTCAAGTTTAAAGTTTAGAGCTGTGTTTTGCATCACTGGCAGGGTGATTAGTTATAAACTATTATAAACTATGCTTTCCATCTATGGAGCCAACAACTGGAACTCTTTCAGAAACTTCATGAGAATACTAAGCAGGCGAGAGCTCATACATTGTGAGGCATAGAAAAGGTTGTGAATAGGTGTGTGTGTGTGTGTGTGTGTGTGTGTGTGTGTGTGTGTGTGTGTGTGTGTGTGTGTGTGTGTGTGTGTGTGTGTGTGTGTGTGTGTGTGTGTGTGTGTGTGTGTGTGTGTGTGTGTGTGTGTGTGTGTGTGTGTGTGTGTGTGTGTCACTCACTGAGTTTGAGCAGGAGTTTCTTGCCCAGTGTGTCCTCTGAGCCGCTCAGAGACAGGCTGCTGATGAAAGGAGACGTGTCCGTTTCTATGGCTACACAGGCCATGTCTGAAGGGGGTGAGAGAGCGCGAGAGAGAGAGAGAGAGAGAGAGAGAGAGCGCGAGAGAGAGAGGGAGAGAGAGAGAGAGAGGGCGAGAGAGAGAGAGAAAGAGAGACCTATTTTACATAATGAGGTCTTTAAAACAGAGACTTCCCCAACATATCAGGTTGTTTGTCAGCATTTTGTAGTGACCTTGAGCCAAATTATTGACCCCTAATTTTTCCTCTAGGTATGCAAGTTGCCGAAAGAGGACATATACTAATTTTCAGGTTCATAATAGTGTCTCTACTGGGACATGTCTCCATGCTTTAATGTTCAAAAAGCTCTTTATTTTTCTCATACTGCCTGTGCTGCAGCACCTCTTTTCACCCTCTGTCTGAAACCAGAGTCCAGTCTGCTCTGATTGGTTAGCTGACCGGCTCTGTTCTGATTGGTCAACCGCTTAGAGATGTCCCGCCCCTTAGCCTATCACGTACAATGTGTTAAGGCGCTAGCTAATAGGAGCAGGAGTGTGACAAAGTGATGGTCACCATGTTCTGGAAGTAAACAAAGGAGTGGAATAAAACCCTAGGAGAAAGGGAAAACCCCCAAAAGCATAATATAGCCTTTTTGAATGACATGTTATGTAATCTGTAGCCTACCATCGTGTGCGTCCGCCTCAGATCTGTCCTCTCTGATGTACGGGATCTCGTCCATCCTGAGGAACACTGAATCACTGGGACTCTTCTGACCGTCCGACTTGCTTCCTACAGCAGAAACACACACATTAACACACACATAAACACACACATTAACACACACACTAACACACACATAAACACACACATAAACACACACATAACACACACACTAACACACACATTAACACACACATTAACACACACACTAACACACACATTAACACACACACTAACACACACATTAACACACACATAAACACACACATAAACACACATAACACACACACTAACACACACATTAACACACACACTAACACACACATTAACACACACATTAACACACACACTAACACACACACTAACACACACACTAACACACACATTAATACACACATAAACACACACATAAACACACACATTAACACACACACTAACACACACATTAACACACACATTAACACACACACTAACACACACTAACACACACACTAACACACACATTAATACACACATAAACACACACATAAACACACACATTAACACACACAGAAACACACACATAAACACAGACATTAACACACACATTAACACACACATTAACACACACATTAACACACACAGAAACACACACATTAATACACACATAAACACACACATAAACACACACATTAACACACACAGAAACACACACATAAACACAGACATTAACACACACATAAACACACACATAAACACACACATTAACACACACAGAAACACACACATAAACACAGACATTAACACACACATTAACACACACATTAACACACACATTAACACACACAGAAACACACACATTAACACACACATAAACACACACATAAACACAGACATTAACACACACATTAACACACACATTAACACACACAGAAACACACACATAAACACACACATTAACACACACAGAAACACACACATAAACACAGACATTAACACACACATAAACACACACATAAACACACACATTAACACACACAGAAACACACACATAAACACAGACATTAACACACACATTAACACACACATTAACACACACATTAACACACACAGAAACACACACATTAACACACACATTAATACACACATAAACACACACATTAACACACACATAAACACACACATAAACACACACATTAACACACACAGAAACACACACATTAACACACACATAAACACACACATAAACACACACATTAACACACACATTAACACACACATAAACACAGACATTAACACACACATTAACACACACATAAACACACACATTAACACACACAGAAACACACACATAAACACAGACATTAACACACACATTAACACACACATTAACACACACATTAACACACACATTAACACACATAACGTTTCCCACAATCTCGAATACAATAACAAAGATATATACAAATATGTATAAAAATATGTATATACCTATATATATATATATACAATTATTGAACTGGTTGTAAATAATTTAATTTAAAGCCAAGAAACAAATGAATAAATCAAGACAACAGTTTCTTTTTGTAAACCAATAACTTTCAAACTCCTCACACATTTAATTTTAAATCCAACTTTTTTTCACAACAAACAACTTTTCTCTAACAACATCTTGTTAAAACGAGTGACTATATAACCACGTTTAAATGACAAGGGATATACACAGACGCTCTTATAAATAAATACAATCAGGCATCAACAAACCTGTACATGTTTCCTTCTATTTCCTTACAAAGACAACCCCAGCTATAATCAATGTTCCTAGAGTCCACACACACCCAGTGTATCTCCACACGGAGCATGACTTGGTGCAGCTCTTTGAACAAAGTAATTAAGCTTCAGTGCTTTAAATGTTGATGTTCTCCCCCAGCGGTGCATTCAAATACTGATTAAAGTGCGCAGTAAAATAAATGCAGAGAGCCCCTGCTGCAGTGCATTAGCACAGATATCACAGTCAGCATTTGTATAGTAGTTGCAGTCAAATGTAAATATGTTTGCAAAAAAGTGCTTATGAAATAACAGGTTTATATTTTTTAAGACCTCTTTCAAATATCTTGTTTACATACTGTTTGTTTTCTATTATTACCACTATGTAGCCAGTTTTATGACGAGGCGAAATGTCATGTGTGCAGCATTTGAGTCAAGACAAATTCCCCTATGAAGACAATCAATGTTGTATATTGTATTAAATCTAGAGTATATCCTTCCAAAAATGGCCCTAGCTAAACAATCTCAACAGTACTTGCTTAATATCACTCCCTAGAACATTTAAAATGTAACTTCCCCCATAATTCAACACTAATAACCCTCATATTTATTATATATATTTATCATCGCATGCCTTTTCCACCTGCGATGACACTTGTGCTGTAACACTGCACATCTCCCACCTGTTGGACCAATGAAGGATTCCTAATGTCTGATGTCTGATATGATACGTAAACAAAGAAGTCCAATGGAGGCGTTTCAGGCAGGGTGGGGGGGGGGGATAAAACCCTAAGAGAAAGAGAAAACCCCCCAAAAGCATATGATAGAGACGATGTTACTCACGGACGATGCGGTTCTTCTCGTTCAGCAGCGAGGTGGAGGGTGTGACGCCGGACTGCTGCCCTCTGGCCCTCGCTGAGCTGGGTCTGTAGTGCTCCCTGGGGGGGGGCATGAGGGTGGAGGGGGGGGGCATCAGGGTGGAGGGGGTGGAGGAGGAGGGGGTGCTGCTGCTGTGATCTCGAGGCCCAGCAGGAGGTCCTGGGGTCGGGGAGACGTCCTCTGCCAGGCAGGCGTCTGCATCTGGAGTCTGAGGGGAGCTGTCCATCCGAGAGGCTGTCATCGCGTTCTGGTAGTGGCTCCGGGTTATCTGACACACAGGAGCAAAGGATTATGGGTATTTCAGTCAGACAACTCAAGTGTTTCTTGATGTTAGAAAAATATCACTCGTCACTGGCTTAGTCTTCAATATCAGGATACATGTCTTTATTATCCTTGCAAGAATGGAAGTAGTCATCACACACAGAGCTGCGTGGGACAAATAGTTCCCAGAGTAGAGTCCTTGATATGCTTATATACAAGAGAGGGTGTTACAGTCAACAAGATGGAAGAATACTGGTTCAAAGCAGTATTCTGACATTAGTTCAGATTAGCTAAGGCCTGCGTAAGCAATACACATGACAGTCATATGCCTATCTCTGTAGGGGCTGTGTCATCATGCCAATCTTAGGAACATAGCTATCATAACTCCATCACAGTGTCTCATGAGCGTCATCCATGTAGTCAAACATCCGGCTACGTACACAGCTACGTAGGGCCTCTGTTATCACGTGCTACTCTGATATAGAAGGAACATTCAGTATTTTCCCAACACTTGATATGTTTATTAGAAGCAGCATATAGTTTGAGTTTGGCGTCTAGGCTCGGGCCTCATCACTCCACAGATGTACATAGAAGATGGAGTGATGATAAGATAACTATCCCCCGAGCCTACAGGTGGATGCTGGGGTTGAAGCTGGGGGTGGTGGGGCAGCGAGCAGCAGCAACATGGAAGTAGCAGCAGCAGCATTATCGAGGCAGAGGCAGCAGATCTGGCAGCTTAAGTAGAGCGGCATGTTTAGGAGAATGTGTTTGGTTGGTTGCAAGAGGGACGAGGCGCGTCACGTGTTAATGTATCATCGGTGCTCGAGTTGACTGCCTGAACTAGCTGGCAGGCTTCGCCCCATTAGTCAGGATGTTAGAGGGAAAGTGGATGTATTTCTATTATTACACGGCTTAGTTGAATACTCGATTCAGATTGGTCAATTTGGACATTTCAGAAGTTGTTAATACTCAATAACACACCAGTGCTGAGCAAAATAATGACCGTTGTTGAGGTAGAGAAAGGAAAGAGGTTAAGACAGAGCGCTGTCCTATTGGATTTTTGTAAAGGGAGTCCTTGTTATGCTAAATTCTGGGTCAACCTAAATAAATACGTCATCACTGCACCACTCTTTGCTTTGTCCTATTGAAAGCTAATGTACGTGTTGCTGATCTGAGTTTGTATCCTCAGGGTTGATAGCATCTGTGTGTGAAAGTGTCAGTTAAATGTACCAACAGGAGTTACCTTGATGACCTGCAGGGCTGTGAGCTGTCGGACAGAATAATCCGGCAGGTAGACGTTCCCCCCGCCGCTCAGTTGGCTCGAGCTGCCTCCATTCAGCATGGTTTCAGAGCGGTCCAGACCACTGCTGCGGGAGGGGGATCTGTGCACTGCAGGGGGGACAAACCTGTACATAATTCACTGAGCACTTCATCCAATCATGAGGTGGGCTCAGGGAGGCTGCCAAAATCACCCTTCACCTGATGAACCATGCCTTTATTTCTTGGCAGGGAAAGGACTTCTGTTTAAACTGCAGTTTTTTGGAGAGTTTGCTGATCAGGGTTTTTAGTCTTGCTCTTTGTGCACATTTACAAAACAAACACTATGTTCAGGCCAACAGAGCAGCAGTATTGTTGTTTTAAAGATTATTTTATTGTTTTGCAACTATGAATGTGGCGGCCAAAATCATAAAGAAATAAACTAATCTCTCTACTTGTGAGAAATTAAAAACAAGCACATGTTTGGGACATTCGGTCACTTTAGGGCAGGGGTGTCAAACTCAAATACACAGTGGGCCAAAATAAAAAAATGGGTACTAGTCGAGGGCCGGACTGGTTCAATGTTTATTGCAGAACTTATTGAAATGAACTTATTGCCCATATTAAACCTGGAACTAACAAAGCTTAAATGATTGCCTATAAAAACAACATTAAACATTAAATAATCAGTTGCATTCATTTCTTATGGCTCTATCTGCAGCTTTTCCAGAGTCATTTCTTATGATTACATTTTCCCACAGGCCAACAACAGCTTCAACAAAACTATTTCCCTCAAAGAAAAACCCAAACATGCCCTGTTGTCGTGAGAAAGAAAGTGCAAAAGGAAACATCCATGTAAACTCAGTGTGCTGCTCTGTGATGCTAGCTCAAGCCAGATACTTGGCATCTCATCTTGGGTGCAAGTTCATCAATGTTTGGGCTCAGGCTCTGAGCTGAGGAGACCCTCAGAATTGAGTGAAGGTGTGCGTGTAATATACCGGCGGGCCAGATTTAATAGTAATTAGAAATTATCCTGCGGGCCAAAATTAAATCCACCAAGGGCCGGATTTGGCCCCCGGGCCTTGAGTTTGACACATGTGCTTTAGGAGCTAAATTAAGATTTTTATATTAAAGGGGACCTATCATGCAAAATGCACTTTTGTACGTCTTTTATACATGAATATGTGTCCCCGGTGTTCCAGGGAACTCACCAAGTGTCAGAAAACACAACCCTCTCTATTTTCCTCCATACCCAAATCTCTAAAAAAGGGGGCTGCAACGGATCTGATAAAAACTGATCCAGATTTGAACACTGTCCTGACGTCAGGACGGTGGCGCTACGGCTATTGGGCCAACTCCACCAATCAGGAGGAGACAGCCACGGCCATTGCCGTTCGAAAGCGCTGGAGACGCTGTAGTACATATGCCAGGCCTGTAGGTGGTGCTGTTCTCACTGAATCTGCCCTTGCTAAAACAGAGCTAGAAATTGTCAAATTGAGCAAAATGAGGCATGGCTAAAATGCATGATCTGTTTGGTATTTTGAAAAAAAAAAAGTATAAATATGCCTTATATAGGTATGGTCCTACACTATATTATTCAAATATAGCATGATAGGTCCACTTTAAGTGGCATTAAGTAATCTTTATTTTAAACATTTCCGAACTCTTTTTAATCTCTGGACACCCTGTCCCTTATTTTCTTCTTTCTTCAAAATGTTATTCATTTCAAATGTCTTTACTTTCTTGAGTTTGGGCTTTCTCTGGTTTTGCTTTTGTTCATTTCTTGTGGATTTGAACGTTGAATAGTATGTTTACACCTTCAAGTAAAACAGCCGCTGAGGCACCAGTTAGCGCATCTTACGCAGGGTTCAATGATCCAGTTAAGAGTCCTTTCTTTGCATTGATGCAATGAAATGCTTTTATTACTATTATTACGGCATTGCTCAGTGGTACAAACACATTGTTTTCTTTTTACACATGCCATTTCTCTTATAAAGATATTAAACAAAAGTTAAAGTTTTACGTTTTGATTAAAATTGGGAATCGTTTTTTTGCAGGTAAAGTCTGTGGTGTTGTTTGTTGGATTTGTTTGGATATCAGGGAGCAGTAATCGGAAAGTGTCCCGTAAGAATATAAAGACATCAGCGTGTGATTTCTACCTGTTGGCATGATGGAGGGAACCCCAAAGTAAGAGAAAGCTCCGTTCTCAAACTTCAGCGCCTCCTTTCCGAACTCCACCTCCACTCGACCCTGACGGTGAAACACAGAGCGTTTGATCAGAAACTGTCTGAGAAACAACAGCAACATGGTTTTACTGCAGAATAAAACGTACCTGCAGCACGAGGATGAAGTGGTCCACAGGTTTGTTGCGCTGGAACAGGAAGTGATGCGGCGATCGTTTGTTCTTCTCGTCGAACTTGAGTTCCTGAACGACGCTCGGGTGTTTGATCAGCCTCAGCAGGATCTTCTCTGAGATGTGAGCGGGTTTGAAGGGCTCCACCTCTACAGGAGGGAGGAGAGAAAATGCTTTTATGGCACAATATTGTCTGTTCTAACTTCCTTAAAACAAATGTTCAAATCCTACAGAAATGTGACAGAAACAGAAATTGTAAACTTTTTTGCAAGATCGGCAACTTTTTAAATCTTTAACCAGGTCTCTGTTATACTGATATGGAAAATTAAGATTGCATATAGTTCATATATAAATATGCATTTCCATCAGGATTTTACGACATCTTCAAATTGAACTCCCGAATGATTCAAATAATACTTGTGATCGGTTTGTTTGTTTGTCTAATCATGTGAATTTGATGTTTTTATCAAACTCAGGCCTTAAAACTGACTCTAATCTACCAAGCAGTTATTTCTAAACCAAAAGCCAACATTTTAATCCCTTAAAGAACCAAGACTATGAGATTTAAGAAAACCCTCAATTCAAATGTCTCTCTATGAGGAAGTGTTTATCCACAAAGTAATCACTGACACAGAGCAGCGATCTGACTGGCTGTTACCTGTGGACAGGAAGCACAGAGCAGCGATCTGATTGGCTGTTACCTGTGGACAGGAAGCGGTGTGTGGCCATGAGCAGCTGAGGAGAAATGTTCACTTTCATTTCGTTCTCCGACAGCTTGAAGATGGAGAAGTCCTGCTGCTTCCTCTCATGGTGAGAAACACGCCGCTTAGTACGGTTATCAGCTGACAAAACACACACACACACACACACACACACACACACACACACACACACACACACACACACACACACACACCACACACACACACACACACACACACACACACACACACACACACACACACACACACACACACACACACACACACACACACACACACACACACACAGCCACACAAATGAGTATATTTATATTGCATTTGCAAGACTTTTATCAGGAAGGGGAGCTGTGTGTGTGTGTGTGTGTGTGTGTGTGTGTGTGTGTGTGTGTGCGTGTGTGTGTGTGTGTGTACATACTGTAGAGGTCTGTCTCGTCCAGGATCTCTGACTTGATGATCTCCTCGATGACGTCCTCCAGGGTCACGATGCCCAGCACCTCGTAGAAAGGGTCTCCCTCGCCCTCGTTGTTGACGCGCTGCACGATGGCCAGGTGGGACTTCCCTGGAGGAAATAAGGTTAAATTAGTATTTTTTTAACCCAGAATGCATTTAAAAAATACTTCACTTGGCAAAACATGTTTCATAGAAAAGGTTCAATCAGAATCAGAATACCTTTATTCGTCCCACAGCGGGGCATTTGCATTTGTTACAGCAGAAAAGAGCCAAAGACAGCTTAATGTTAACTCAGTTTTGAAGATATAGAAAATTACTATTTTAACTCAGAATGCATTTAAAAAAATACTTCACTGGGCAAAACACTTGGACGGTAAGTGCCAGTGAAATATCTTTATCAACAATATATATATATATATATATATATATCTGTTACATAGAAAAGTGTTATTTTATTGTAGTTTAAATGTAATGAATGTGTGTTTTTCCATTTGAAATAACCCTGAACAATTTGTACTCATCCTCCACCTCACTGCATTTAGATTTGTATTAAACACTGTAACTTCTTTGCACACATGATATTGTTTTAAACTTTCTTTAATAGTAAATTGGTATATTAATGTGTATTCTAATTCTAATGCCATCTCTTCTTCATGTGGGTATGACTCACACTGAGCTCCTTAAGTGAAACAGCAGCTGGGAGGATTCCACACACACACACACACACACACACACACACACACACACACACACACACACACACACACACACACACACACACACACACACACACACACACACACACACACACACACACACACACACACACACACACACACACAGTCTTTGCATGCAGTCACACACTCCGTCACATGAACACACTCCCGAGCTGCAGAGTGTTTTCCTCCAGGATGATGAGTGTGTGTTTCCGGAGGTAAAATCTCGGGGCGTTCCCGAAGATAAACGAGTCGTTAATAATCCGTTCACTGCTGCGTGACAACGTTTCTGTCCTGAAGCCAAAACAAGGCTAACGAGATTCTGCACTGCATCTCAGTGTGCGTCACACAGATATACCATTACACAACTCACAACTGTATTCACACACGCACAAATATATGCAGGAATATGCATACACAGAACACAGAGGAAATCCTTGTTAGTAACTCTGGCTGCAAATCAACTTCCTCACAGAGCTTCTACACTGTCTGCCTGCCAAACACTACCTCCAACACACACACACACACACACACACACACACACACACACACACACACACACACACACACACACACACACACACACACACACACACACACACACACACACACACACACACACACACACACACAGCAATGTAGCTAAATAGGTCAGCCTTACATACAAACTAGTCCGAAAGCAGGAGAGGAGAGAGTGTTTGCAGCTAAAGTCTTATGTTTTCATCCAGATAAATTATAGTGTTTCTTTGACCTCATAACCTTTTCTCAAACTCCCTCTAAACATCCTCAAACTATACAAAGACTCAATGACATTATCATACTTTTATGGAATTGAATCAAAGGCTGTATGTAAAGAAAACTGTTTATATTAACATAACTATGGATGGCTGCAGCATGCAAAACAGAAAATGTAGACAACATTTAGCACACTTTCCTGTTAGGTAGCGTGTTGTGTTTTGTGCTTGTTGGGAGGCTGTGGCTCAGTGGGTAGTGTGCTGGACTTCAAATCAGGGGTAGCAAGTTTGAGTCCCACTGCAGTCAGCATGTCGTTGTGTCCCTGGGCAACACACTTCACCCCAAATTGTTCCTGTGGGGATTGTCCACAGTATTGACTGTATGTAAGTCGCTTTGGATAAAAGCGTCTAACAAATGACACACCTGAACTACAGCAGGAGAGGACTCTTTAAAGTAGAGACACTACATACTGATATACACCTGAACATCAGCAGGAGAGGACTCTTTAAAGTAGAGATACTACATACTGATATACACCTGAACATCAGCAGGAGAGGACTCTTTAAAGTAGAGATACTACATACTGATATACACCTGAACATCAGCAGGAGAGGACTCTTTAAAGTAAGAGACACTACATACTGATATACACCTGAACATCAGCAGGAGAGGACTCTTTAAAGTAGAGATACTACATACTGATATACACCTGAACATCAGCAGGAGAGGACTCTTTAAAGTAGAGACACTACATACTGATATACACCTGTATAAGCGACAATCTGCTCCCATACAAAATAACTTTTCTTCAGCTATTCGTGGAGCCAGTGGGGCCCAGCACTTAGAGGGCTACGCCAATACTCATAGAAGCTGGAGTTACAGTAGGTAACTTCAGATCTATTTCGTATATGGCTTCGCCCTCTAAGGCTATCGCTATTGGGTTAAGGGCGAAGCAAGATGTAGTCTGCGCCCCACTGGGTCCGCCCGGTACTAGAAGCACAGACACACCTGCTCAGATAATAACCCATGCCCTTTGCGCCATGCGAATGGCGCATCACAGTCCCTGGAATATAGCATAACATGAATATTTTCCATGAGGGGACGAGGCTGGGAATAATACATACCTGCCGCTGTGAAAAAGTAGAGACGAAGATCACACTTTGCCCAGTGACAGAAAGGAGGGGGAATAGCAGCTCTCTGCGTGCAGACAGGCAGGAGAGCGCACAGCTGGGTCCCTGACGTCACTCACTCTGACAAGACATTCCGTAGGAAATGTGTCAGGGGAAAAAAGGGGGATGTCCCTCTCATAAGAGGGAATACAGGCCACTCTCCGTGTGCCGAGAGGCAGGAGAGAGGCGCACAGCTGGATCCCTGACGTCACTCACTCTGACAGGACACTCAGCACAGGGTGCGTCAGAGAGGAAAGGGAGACATCCCTCAAATACAATTGAATAAATGAACAGGGGGAAGACCAAGATGCAGCACTGCAAATGTCTTCCACTGACATTCCTCCGTGCAAAGCCGTGGAGGAGGAAAAATTCCTCTGGTGGAGTGTGCATTGATGTTCTCCGGGGGATCCACCCCAGCGGAGACATATGTGACACAGCTTCACACAGCCAGTGTGACAGCCGTTATGCAGATAGAGACTGCCCTATCGAGCGCTCTCTATAATTCACAAACAGGCGCTGAGAACAACGCAAGGCAGCCGTGCGCGCCACATAGCAGGACAGCTGAGATGAGACGTGGCTTCTTCCTCCGACCTGTGAGGAGGGGGAAAGAAGCCAGCCAGGGTGATCACTCTTGACCTAAAAGAGTTTGTGATGACCTTAGCCTTAGGCATGAAGCCGGGTTAGGGCGTAAACCAGCTGAACTGCCATCTCCTTGGATCCGGAGACATGACGGAGCCACAGAGAGAGCGGACAAATCACTCACCCTTTTCGCTGATATTAGAGCCAAAAGTAATAGCCTACTTTGGCTGATAACAGTTTAAGGGGAAACTGATCTAAAGGTTCAAAAGGGCTTTGCTTAGTGCGCGTAACACCAAAGCCAAATCCCACTGAGGCGCCAGTGCGTGTGACCCGCCAGTGTGCGTGACACAGGTCTGAGTCTCCGTACTCCTCGCATAAACGGCTGCTGCGCTCTGCGAGCACCTCTGTTCAAATCGCTGGGAATATACATTGCTCTGATGGAGAGCAACGTGTGTGCGCGCCCAGAACAGCAGCCGCCTGGCTGCGTTCAGAAGCTGCGCAGATCGTACTCCTCCCTGGCGATTGAGGTAGGCTGCCGTGGCCTGTTGGCTGGGCGAATCAACACATGTTTGATTGTACAGCAATGGGGCGAAGTGCTGGAATACTTCCCAAACCGGAGAACAGCTCCAGCACATTTACATTTACCGCACGGGGTCGGTCCACATCTGGAGACCCCTCCTGTGGGGGAGACCCTGGGGAATCCCCACGTGATCAGCTGACGTCATGCTGAGCAGCTGTATTACGGAGAGGGCGTGACACGCCGGATAGGGAGCTGTCAGTTTCTCCACTCGCTGCAGCGAGAGCCGCGCTCTGCTGGCTGAGTTTTATTCCACTCGCAGATAAATGAATGTCTGGGAGGGAAGAGGACAGCTCTTCTTCAAATTCATTATGAAAACCAAGCTTTGACAGATGCGATACGAGATGTAACATCTGTAAAGCGACTTCCTCCCTGGAGCGAGCCAGCAATAGCAGGTCGTCCAGATAAAACCACACTCTCATCCCTCCTCTGTGTTGTGGCTCCAGCCTTCTACACACTTTGAAAAAATGCGAGGAGCCAGGGAATATCCGAACGGCAGACGATTGTCTGGTCTGATATTTCCCTGAAAAGAGAAACGCAGGGATTTCCTGAGTTTCGGGATGATGATAGGCTACATGGAAGTATATGTTTTTCCGGTTTATGGAAGTGAACCAGTCGTCCTGGTGAACACATTCCAGCACCTGTTTGATTGTCAGCATGGGAATACTGACAGATCAAGGATGGGTCTCACTCCCCCGTTCTTTTCCGGGATTTTTTGAAAATAACGGGAGTAAACACCCCTGATTTTCCTCCCTTTGAAAAAATGCCTTTTTCAACAGGAGTTCCTGCAGCGCTGAATGGAGCGCAAGACACTGTTCCTGGGATGACAGGAGTGTTTCTTGTATCCCATGGAACTGCGGGGTGGAGAGGCTTCTCTGTGATATGCTGTAATGGTCGTCATGACCGTGCTCTGTAGGAGGCATATCTGGGACAGAGAAATGCCGCGAGCTCTGCAGGTTATAAACCAATAGGTTAAAACAGCAGGCTTCTGCAGCGAATGACCCACCTCTGAAGACTCCTCCTGTGGGGGAGACCCATGGGGATCACCACGTGACCAGCTGACGCCAATGCCGAGCAGCTGCGTCACGGAAAGGGCTGTGCGGGTTGTGACACGCCGGAGGAGAGCTGTCAGTTCCTCCACTCGCTGCCGTGAGATCCGCGCTCTCATGCTGGCTGAGTATAATTCCACTCCCAGATAATAATTGTCTGAGAGGGAAGAGGACAGCTCTCCTTCCAATTCATTATGAAACCCAGGCTTTGACAGATGCGATACGAGATGTAACGTCTGTAAAGCGACTTCCTCCCTGGAGCGAGCCAGCAAATAGCAGGTCGTCCAGAGAAAACCACATTCTCATCCCTCCTCCTGAGGCAACCCAGGTGGGCCTGGAGCGAAAGGGCTGTGAGGGAGTCTCCACATGCTGCGTTTCACTCCGGCTCTCATCATGAGGCGTGTACACGCTCAGGGGATGAGTGGAAGTGTGTGCAGTGCCGTTCACATGAGGCGTCACAACGGCGCTCATGGGCTTATTATGACCGTGTGTAGGAGACGTATCTCGGACAGACGAATGCCGCAAGCTCTGCGCCTGACGCCAGCCGATGCGGTTGCCTGAAAGGCACACTGGTGCACCCGGTCGGCCTGGCGGGCGACATACTGGTCTCTGGGGTCGCTCAACGTAGGGCGCCGTCCGGCGATTATGTTGGCCTGTCTTACCCCAAAAAAAACGGCAGAACCGAACGGTGAACCGTGGAGGGAGGCGGGGCAGGAGTCGTCCGACTCCTGCCCGGCACTCGGCCCCAGGGACACGAGGCCTCCGTCCGCGGCCTCGTAAGCCCGGATGGGCCAATCGTCCTCCTCGGCCGCAGCAGCGAGAGCGTCCGCTCTCCGCTTCCTGTCGCCCGAGGAGGGCACACAGCATGTGAATCCAGGCAGGACTCACACACTGGGTGCTAGTCATAACTCATTATGAACCCAGAGCCACATGAGGGACAATCTCTCACACAATTGTCACCCATGTTTACTCTGCAATTTCAAGTGTCTCTTGTGCTTCAGTAACGGGGTGCTGAAGAAAAGAGGGAGCAGATTGTCGGCCTCCTTCCTATTTATACCGGAAGGGAGCCCGAGGGTGGGGCCCACCTTGCGGGCGGGCGTGGACTACAAGTGTTTCAGTGCTGCGCGGGTGCGCAGGGGGATTACCCAATAGCGATAGCCTTAGAGGGCGAAGCCATATACGAAATAGAACAGAGTTCAGCAGAGGAGGCGTGACAGAGCTCCTCCCTCACCTGACTCACCTGAGATAAACCAGGAAACAGTTTGTTATTCTCCCTCACTGCAGAGAGAGAGACGGACTGAAAAACAGACGATCACATTCACCTTCAGACCAAACTAACAACTTCGGCTGAGTTCAGCTACAGGAGAGAAAAGTGGAAACTACAACCCTGCTGCTTCAACTTGCGGACCCTCCCCCCCTGAAGGTGAGTCTCCAAACATCACTCAAAGAGAATTTCAGTGAAGTCAGTAGAGGAGGGGGAGGGGAGCCATGAGCTAACATTTAAACATACACTTCATTCTTTACTTTGTCTGTTATTATATGTAGAAGATATTACTTTTTTCTCCGTCATGTTGTTTCCATAGCAACAACTTCAATATAAAAGCATCTAAATAAAACAGGAAGTTAACCTAAATTACATTTAAGACACTGCAACGAAAGTAACAAAAACAATGTAATATCCTTTTCCGTTTCACAGAACACAAATTGGGTTATTTACATAATTATGTTTACACTGTCGATTGATGTATATATATATATATATATATATATATATATATATATATATATGTATATATATATAACTTATATTAGATATCCTATTGTAATATATTTGTCGATGTTGTTGTGATTATAATGTATTGCATCATTTGCAGTATTTTTTGTAATTAAAAATAAAAATGTTTTACAATACATTTGACCAAATAGTTCCAAATGACATAGATGAGTTAATTTTCTAAAAAAAGATACTGTCTGCATAACATGATTCCTCCTCCTCCTCCTCCTCCTCCTCCTCCTCCTCCCATGGACATATTACTTGAAGGGGAACTTGAAAGTGTGGTTGGGCCTGTCACTACCCGATCTGCAGCCCTGCCCTATCTGCAGTGCGCATGTGCGAGATGGTCCGCCATATTTGACAACTACATACGGCAACTCTACTAGGACACTTGACACAGTGGCTTTTGGCAAAGCAGAAAAAGAACCGAGAGAGATGAGTTATTGTTATTACAACGTGACTTCACTATTATTTAACAACTCTTTTTATTGGGTTCTTTTATTTGGGGTTAAGTACATTGTCAGAATAAGTGAGAAATGGATTTAACTTCTGTTAGACAGCTATCATACTGAATAAATATTTACTGTGAATGTATGCAAACATGTCTAGCATATAGCTGTCTAACAGAAGTTACATCCATTTCTCACTTATTCTGACAATGTACTTAACCCCAAATAAAAGAACCCAATAAAAAGAGTGGTTAAATAATAGTGAAGTCACGTTGTAATAACAATAACTCATCTCTTGGTTTTCTTAGTTTTCTTTGTGTGCTTTGCCAAATGCCACTGTGTCAAGTGTCCTAGTTGGGTCCATATTGCACATGCGCACTGCAGATAGGGCAGGGCGGCAGATCGGGTAAGTGACCAAGCCCCCAGGAAGTGCGCCGGACTCAGATGAAAATATTCGTGCTGGCCAAACGGCGGTACTACACTTCCTTTTGGTTGCCAGGCCCGGAAACACTTTTTCCCATTGACTTACATTGGGAAAGAGTGGTCTGTAAATCGTTGGATAATTTTTTTTAAACTAAATAAACTACCCAGTATGAACACTTGTATAGCCCTTATTAAAAACATTCGTTCCTAAAGTTGTAAAAATGTGCTAATAACGTTATTCTGTGAGTTATTTCCCTCTGCATTATGAACGCGCATCTAACCCACGGGACCGCGCCGCCCGGCATGTTCATGTTACGTGTTCAGTACTACATGCGTTTATCTTTACCCATGGATGCACAATAAGAACGGACCCATATCGCCTTACTGCCAGCCCATGGAGCTGTAATAATGGATATATTGCACATGTTTGCTGTAATTCATCATTTGTAAAATATTATACTACATGGGCTGTATGATTAAATCTTGTACTGTAAATGTTGTATTAAATAAAGTTAATATTACCGACGTAGATTAACGTCCCTAACTCATATACATATATATATATATATATGTATATATATGTATATATATATATGTATATATATATATATATATATATATATATATATATATACATACATATACATATATATATATATATATATATACAGTGCAATAATTCTTTCATGCTAAATGAAGCTCTGTTGCTTGGATATCACTAGATCCTGTTACAGCGTAATATAAAAGTACATAACGATTGATGTGTAAATTAGCATAATTACTAGCTAACCGCTAGCTGCTAACTGCCGCCTCGTTAATATCAAATCTATCATAATAACAATCCATTACCATGCTGTCATGAACGTGCGGTGCTGTTACGTGTACGCAAATTGACGTGCTTGATGTGAACGAGCATTTTGGGGGGCATGGTTAAAGTTGCGCATGCACTATGAGCGCACATACGGGTACTTCTCAGGCATGCCGGGTAATCTGTGACGTTTCGCTCTCTCAAAAGTTGGGCCATTTTATCATCATGCGCGAATGAGCAACTCTCATAGGAATGAATGAGGCCCCGCCTCCCACGCTGTATCCAGTTCTTATTATACATCCATGCCATAGACTGTATAAAGGTTGGGCCACACAATCCAGCTGTGGAATCAAGCTCGAGAATATTTTCAAAAAATACAAGCAGGACACAAGCGACATTACTTTCAAAATAAAAGCACAAGTGTTCAAAAACAAGTTTATTGCCTTTATATAGACATTTATAATATCGATTGGGAGAATATAGAAATGATGCGTAATGTGTTTGATTGTGTTATTTGTGTTTTTGAAATATCATAACATGATACCATTATTTAAAAAAAAATGAATACAATATCAATGTCATCCATTATGAGGATTTAATCAATGTTTACTGTAATGCAGTAGAAATACTATATGTATTTGGTTGATGAATGCAATAAGAAAACATAATAATAATAACAAAAATATCAATGAGAAGAATAAACAAATGGTATTATTTATTGTCTATTTATTGCATTATTTGTGCTTTGCTGATACATTTATTAACATTGTACAAGTCATGTTCGTCTTACAGCTGCTTACCCAGAAGCCTTTTAACTTGTTTTAGCACCTACCGTATTTACAATGTTGTTTTTAAACTATTCTGCATCTCTTGTATGCATGGTTTGAATGGATCTGTTATTCCATTATGTTTATTTATTGTGTTCCTCTCTGCTGTCTTATTATTAAGTGTTAATGATTATGTAAAGCACTTTGAATTGTTATAGAGCGCCCCTAGTTACACCAATCAGCGTGCGATTACCGTACAGCCAATCACAATGCGTGACGTCATTGGTAAGCGACGGACCCCGAACACATATGGTAGGGCGAACACATAGAGGGGCCGTTTCTCAGTTGCGAGGATATTGGCTTCCAAGCCAATATTTCAAGGATGCTACGTCATCAAGTGGCACAGCAGGACCGTTCCAATGTCCAGCATACTTGGAATTCCACCGAGGCCGCGTCCTTGGTTTGGGGGAAATTTCGAGGCTGCACATGGGTAGACTTCGCGTCCTTAAAATCCCCACAATGCTTTTGCGCACGGACCAATTTCCCCAAATCTGTGGCGGAAAATGTAAGGCGGGGCCTCTCATATGACGCACACCTGCACACTTGCTAGCCTGTTCCACTCTTCGTTTTCCAAATGCCAGGAAGTATTCTTGCCTCGCTTCTGAAGCAAGATGCTCGGCAGACATGTGCTACCAAGCAAGCGTACTCGTGATTGAGAAACACCCATGGTACTGACACCGGCACCGCCCTTTATTATCATCTTTTTTAAACGGCATCATGTAAAATGACACGTTACGCTCGTGTTGTGTTCAAGGAACCTGTCCTTGGCCAGGAAAAACAGGCAGTCACTTGTTTAATTCTGTTGCGGTCTAGATTTATTAAATTGTTTGTTTCCTTC